AATAGTATTTGTCTCTTAAATTTCAGTATTTCTTATCGAAAAATTGAAGTGTCATATTAAGCCAGTCTCTCCTACGTCGCATGTTATTATCAGTAGGATGGTAGCTATGTTAGTTTTATAAACGGACGGAAAGGGTTTAAAAAGGGTCCATTTGCGTCATAATGTGCTGATATGGATTAAACCAAATCTATATTTTTACGTCTCTAAAATAACACAATATTAGATATAGTCTCAAATCTCAATCCTGCATGAGGAAATTATCTGACGGAATTGACGCCTGTCAATTATTATACTTTGTACATTTTTTTTATCTGATATAAAATAAAATAATTTTATATTATTATTTACTATTATAGATATAATATTATAATATATTATTTATAGTCTAATGAAAAACCAATATGTGCTTAAAATAATATATCATTGGATGGAATTTGAATAAATTAAAACTTTTTTTTTCCCAATTAAATAAATATTTGTAAGTTAATAAAATCCTAAATTCCGGACAATTGTCTTCTTTAATTGTTCCTACAATTACATAATATGATATTATCATCTTTCTCTTATTAATAATTGATTATTGATTCATATTATAATTACAGTCGTAGCCGAAAGAATTTAAATAGATATTCAATATTTTAAACCCTCTTTTATTGTCTATTTTTTATTGACAGCTGCCACCGTTTTATTATTTTAATCACGCTGCCAACACAGCTCCATAAATTTAGTTTTTTTTTCCAGCGAATAAAAGTTATCAGTAATAACTAATAACCTTCAAATAGTAATAACTGATATCCGTTTAATTTTGAAGGTATTTACTTTGACAATTAATTAGGTAAGTACCTAGTTATTTCAAACTATAAAAAGATACCAGTATGAAGAAAAATATATATACAAACATTTAATTTGGTGTATGGACCTAAAAACATATAAATTAACGAACATATATTATTGAACTATGTAGATAAACATGCTACTATATTATAGTAGGTACCTAGTATCGCCACTTATCTGTATCAGTAGGTAATAATAATATAGTTTAGTAAGTTACTTAACTACCACTTATCAGTTTTCAATACCACAATCTTAATATTTCATTTTACCATTTTTATTAGGTTAGTAATATGCTCTTCCATAACACCTAAAAATAGCACGACTTTTCAATCATCCATATTATTGTTTATTGCATTTATTAATACATAATATGTATTATGTATTTATGTTTAGCCGGCCGCAGTCACGGGCCGTGGTAGGTTAACCATATACCGTAGGTATATCAACTGCCTATGGTAATAAAATGGTAAAATAAATAAAAAATTAAATAAAACAATAATAATGTATAATTATTGTTGAGTGAAGTGTACCTATTTGGAATATTTATAAGATCAGTGACTTAGTCGCTTCCCCGGACCCGTGGGTACTATAGCCTATAGGTATTGGTTAATATAATATCATTTGACGACTTGACGCGGAAGACCTGCCGTGGTTACAGACTACTTGGTAATCTAATTATACCTACACGGGCTTGAATAATTCTACGATCCAGTTTGTGAGAAAAAAAACATTTGTATTTAAACTTTACACAATGTTATAGTTGGAATATTATAACTTAAAAGTTATGCCTACTCTGAAAATGTACGAAATTACTTGTAGGCATTACAGTGATTTCTTAATATTCTAAACAACAAACTATATTAATTTCATTATCAAACGTATAGTAATTTCTAAAAATGTTGAAGAATAAATAAAAAAATATTGAATAAATATATGTTTAATACTTTAATGTATATAATTAATATACATTTAATGTTGATGAGTAAATTTGCAAAAGGTAAGCTGAATAAATTGTGATCATTACTTCTGATCTACATTTAATAACTAATAAATTGTTGTAAAAATGGAGTATTATAAATAAATAAAAATAAAACAATAAAAATTACTATCAAAAACAAAAAAAATGACAGAAAATTAATGTGGCCATAATTAAATAAATCACCTCATATATACATTATACATATACATATATACCTATATTATGTAATATTATAATATGTAAATATAACTGAACGTATTATATAATTACATAACATACAATAACAACGATTGGTGTGCAAGTTTTATCGACGTTCACCAAGTCTTACAGAAAAATAATGATGATGGTATAACGGCGGTGGCGCAGAAGAGAACGAAAAACAAAACGAAGCAAAAAAAAATAATAAATAATAATATAAAAGGGATCGGTGGTGGTGCTCCGTCGGTGCAGCAACTCAGCCTCGCCACTGCTCGTTCGAGGGGTTGGTGGGTGGGTGATGGTCGAGTGGGCGGGCGAGTACAAATAATGTATTATTATATAACGGTAGCGGCGGCGGCGGCACTGTTAGCAAAAGCACCACCGTAAAGGCCGCCAAAAAAAAAGGGTGTCGATAACTCGTGCGCCGGGCGAGGCGGGGTTACCACGGTAACGACGCTCGTCGCCGCCGAGCCGTCCGGGATCTCCCCTCTGCCGCCGCCGCACCATCTGTCATCCCTTTGAAAATCACGGATTTCTGATTACTAGCTCGCCGCCGAGTGATTGTGCGGGGTGACCGAGTCGTTGGCCGCGGTATTTAGGGTGAGAGGGTGGTGATGGGTAAGGGTGGCGGACGGCGTCAAAGAGGGCGGACGGACGGTCGAGTGGTGCGAGGGCTTTATCGCCGCCACCGCCGCGCTTTATTCGGTTTTCCGGACCCGCAGAACCGGACGAGTTTTCGGTCTTCGCGGTGCGGTGCAGTCGCGGTGCGGTGGTGGTCCACGACACCCGTTATCGACTTTTACGCGAGTCCCAAAACATTACGCACGCTCACACACACGCGCACGCACGCATACACTGTCACACGGGGCGCGCGCTTTGTCCCGCTTCATCTCACCGTCACCGCCGCCGCGGGATCACAGCCGGGAGAGACGCCGCCGGTCCGCTCCGAACATCGTACGACGACGAGCGCGCGTGTATATTTAATTATTTCTGACGTCGCATATCATATACGAGGTACGTAGTCTGTGTAAATAATAATATTACACACTAGGTTTAAGACAAAATAGATTATAATACTATACAATAACATAATAATATTATATTATATTATATACCTAATAATCGAGCATCGTCGTCATTGTTATATATATAATGGTAGTCAATATATATTGTTTACTGTCATGATTGTTGTTGTGATATATATACTATACGTGTTTGTACAGGGATCTCGTTTCCGCCGCAGCCTCTCCGCCGCTGCCGCCACAACCACCGTTTGTCAACAAATGAAAAAGCTGTTTCCCGTGGATTCTGTAAGAATTTTATAGTTTTTATATCATTAAAATCATATATTGGCCGCTATCTTACATATTTAAAATGACGCTGGGCGTTGGTTTTTCACGTGCCGTATACATAGACAACAAAACATTACTTTTTTATTGGAGAATAGTTTGCAACTTCTTACCTATTATACTTAATGACTGTTGCATGTCTACGATAGGCTCCAATAGCAGTTAAATTAGTTTAGATAATATCCTCTATAATGCATATACGTATATTATAAATTAAAATATATAAATAATAAATTACATTATAATTATTTATTATTATATTGGTGAAATAGTAATAATATAATTAGAAATCGAATAACTCTGATAAATATATGATTTTGTTTGTTTAAATTACTATATTATAGGTATAATAGGCATTGCCCATATTATAATGTACTTAATGAGTTAATATTCTTTGTTAACTTATGAAATTGTGATGCAATAATTAAGTATGATTTTTATTTTGAACTTATATCTCTCAGACTTCAAATTTCAAACTCTCTAGTATTTCTTACACATATTTTAATAACCATTTTAGATTCTGAGCGGAGCGAGGAAGCTAGTGGTTTTACAATGGTGTTTATTTTTTTATTTTTATTTTCTTATATCCTGTATAAAACATTTCTACCAGAAGGAGTGCTTCGATTTCAACACATAGTACCTGATCTTTTAGAAAATTGGTTCGAGATGGTACTTTAGACAGGTCATTTTTCGATTTTCTTAATATTTATTTAATTGCACAGGAAAAACCACCAACAAATTAAGAAAAACCGCTAAAAATGGGATTTTAATTTCTAAAGCTTTGTTTATCACCATAGAAACGAATAAAAAATAATAATACCTATCATATAATATAAATTCAACATACAGGATATACTAAATAATAACAATATTCAGACTCACAAACCGTCTCCGCTCAGAATCGTTTTTCTTATACAATGATATTATATCATTGAATTCAAGATTATTAGAATCATATTTTATACATTGACCCACTTGTAACCTACTGTATAGCAGAACGACATCCACTTACCCACTTTTTATTTATTTATTTTTTACTGATTATTCAACTTAAATAATATTTTAAACACAATGCTTTTTAAAATATATTTAATTATTAGGTATCCATAAGCTACATAAATACATTATTTTGAAAAACTTATGATTTTAATATTAAATTCGATAGAATTGTTTCCAACAATAAATCATCTATTTTGATGAGTTTAGACTTTTAGATACACTTAAACGTCCTAGCATCCCTATTCATGACATAGATTTACCTATATATGTGCCTACCTATAATATACCTTATATACATGTAGATACAGGTGTGTTTATTATTTAGAACTTATAATAATAGGATCTAATATTCTAATTTAAATATAATAGTTGTATCTATTAATAATGAAATACATAATATAATCAGTATGATCCATTGCAGATACTGAAATACAATATATTACTATCATAGTAATGATCATAATTATCATAATGATAAGCTGATTCAATTGACTTTTTCAAAGTTTCTCAACTATTATAATATCTATACAATTGAAGCTTATGGCTTACAATAATAACAGTAGAAATAAAATGTATATACCTAGTTGCAGTCAGTTTTTGGCAAAATTATGAAAAATTCCTTTTTTACATTTTATAGGACCATGGATTTTACGTCTAGTTCTTTGGAAACCAACGGCACGTACTTCGCATGTGAATCTAACCAAGTACCCGGCCGACGGACTCCTCTGAGTGCCGTTGGACTGGGAGGATATTATTTCCCTCAACCATCATCAGTTGCCTCCGACGAAAATAGCCCGGGCCCGGCTTGTCAACAATTCAATAATGGTTCTGACAACAGGTAAACGAAATCAGTATATTATAGAAGTATTTGTTAAGTTGCCCCATGAAACGTAACAGGTGAACGGACAACGGTTACATATATTATAATAATATGTAAGTTCCTACAGGAAAAATCACCAGTACCTCAGTAGGTACCTGTAAGTTCTTACATGTAAATACAATTATCTACAACTGTACGCATTATTACATAGGTAGTGTTATATTAATTATAACAACACCTTAACTATCTAGACCAGGAGTAGCAAACCGTTTTCTGGTCGTTTTTCTGTGCCGTGAAAATGTATCCAACGTGCTACTTTTGGCCAGCATGCCATAGGTTCGCCACCACCGATCTAGACTTATCTTTGTTACCTATGAATTATAATAAAAAATAGTATTGGCGGTACATTTTATTTAATTCAGTACTTGTTAACAAACTAATTATAATAACCTCGCCAAGTCTAAAGTATGAAAGAAATTAGTTTTGGTATAGAAATGTTGTCATTTTCGTATACCTATAAAAATAGGTTTTCAGATAATAAATTACATAGTTTGAAATTTGAATTCGTTTTATTCGTGTAGGAATAAAGTTATATTCTTACCTCTTATGTCTGTTATGATAACTTGCATTTTGTCAAAAAAATTGATTTAAAACCTTTTCATTCTGAGACGACGATGTGTTGACTCAGTCTTACAAATGTACTACAAAGCAAAACCTATTTTGCGTGGGACAACTTTTATCTTTCTGGGTTTGTAGTAGTGGAAACAAAATTTCTGAACATATAGCGTGGAAAATTATCTATGCAAATTGGGTGCCCATATTTTATATAACATAAACACAATAATAGTTATTTGCTTCTAAGCATTTGGTATTTTTGTTTATTCATTTGCTTATAAAAAATGATTGGATAGTGCTACTAAAAAAAACACAGATAAAGTTCTTCTTTACGTGCTGTGAAAATTTAGTAGTTCTACAACAATATGGTGTGAGGAAAGTTATCCCGTGCAAAACAGTTTTTGCCATGTTGTACATTTGTAAGACGGAGACAACACATGCGGGTGTGACATCCTTTTAAGGTATATTAAGTGTATAAAATTCGAATCGAAATTAAAACATGTAAGTACTTAGTACATAGTATACATTTGTATGTTCACATCACCTTTTTTACATGGTGATCTCATTAGTTTAACCAGACATTTCCACATACTCTAGGCCGTGTAATCATAGAATTTTTCAAAAATGTGTTAATTTGTTATCAATTTGTAATCATTCATAAATATTGGTACACTGAACTGTTATTCGGACATAACAAAATTAATTTAGTCATGTAGGTACTCAGTAGGTACCTAACTAATAATTCATTGTTAAACCAAGTTACTTTTGTTTTTTTCTCTTATAAAATCGGTTTTGAATTTTTTTTTTCCATTTCATTAAAAACTTGAATTTACAAAAAAATACCAATGATTTTTCTTCACTAGTTTATTTAGTGTGAAATCTAGTAAATCTGGAATATATATAATTTAATCAAGATTAAAAATATTGTTATTCAGCTATAATATCTATTCAATACTAAAAAAAGTAAGAACACACACAAAACTGATTATTCGATGACTGCAATGTAAAGAATAACACACACAATGACGAATTTAACATTATAAGTTATAACTACTGTCTACACTTAAAATATGAAATTTTTTCAACAATGGTTAACCAAATTAATACCTGTAAAAAGTGCTGTGAACATACATTACACTTTTTTGAAAAATTCTATGACTATGCGTTACACGATAGAGCCTGTGAAAATTCCCCCTCAAGAGGACACTACACCGACATGTGTTGTCTCAGTCTTACAAATGTACAACATAGCAGAAACTTTTTTAGAAACCGAGAAGGCTAAAGTAATAACTAAGAAACAAGATTTTCACCACGTAAAAAGGAGAACTTTGGCTGTGCAATGTCGTTTTTATTTTTAGGGTATCATTTATACGAAAAGAGTTCTTATTGTTTCAAAAACCATATTGTTTGCGTTTTTCAAACTTGAATAACTTTTTTGGCATAAGTGATATCAAAAATAGAAAACGACATTGCACAGCCAAAGCTCTTCTTTTTACATGGTGAAAATTTCGTTTCTTACTTATGACTTTATCCTTTTCGGTTGTTTCCCGAGCAAAATAGTTATTGCTATGTTGTACATTTGTAAGACCGAGCCAACACATGAGGGTGTAGAGTCCTCTTAAACATATGAGATCTTGTTTCAAAAAAAGGTGCTGTGAACATACAAATATATATTACTTATAGGCATACTCTTATACTCACTATTTGACATCATGATTTCTTATTTTTCACATTTAGAATACCTAACAATGGTCAAGGCACTTCGACAATGTCCGGTGTGGGAGCCAAGTCCAAGTCCAAGCAAGGTAAGTCCGTCCGGTTGAATATCAACGCCCGGGAGAGGAGAAGGATGCACGACTTGAATGATGCGCTGGACGAACTCAGAAGTGTCATACCATATGCTCACTCGCCGTCCGTAAGGAAATTGTCGAAAATCGCTACGCTTTTATTGGCAAAAAATTACATTTTAATGCAAGCAAACGCTCTAGAAGAATTAAGAAGACTGATCACTTACATACAGGTATACCTGAGAACAATATTATTGTAAATCCTACACCCGTTTATTATTACAAATATTATTTAAACCTGACCGCACGACAATGCGTCTTGAATTTTGAAGTTCAGTTTCGATATTTTTCTAACTTATTTGTGACTTTTTATAATTTCTAGGCTCAAGGAACAATGACAATGCCACCAGGTTTTGATCTACAAGCTTCGATGTATCCCATTAAACCTTCATTGGCTTCACCCAACGCTTCACCCGATTCTCCACAGTCTTAAAATGTTACACCGATGACCGCTTTTATAACAAAATATACAAAAATATAATATAATATACTAAAATGTAAACAATATTAATGAGTGGACTACTAACACTTCTAAGCAAACAACAAGTTGCTAAGTTTTACAATGTGATTTTCATAAATTATTGTTAATACATAGGTAATAATATATTATATACATTACACACACGATAATAATATTATTATATATTAAATTATATTATCATAGTTGTTATAAATACAAATCGATTTTATATTTTTGACCTGTCTGTATGAAGTAGACGGACGTTTGAAAAACATAATATTTTGTACATGAATGCACATCTTTGTAACATAATATTCTTACATTAAGCATAATGATTTTGTGTTCAAATATTCAGACTAATTATTGTTAGCCTCTTTTAAATGAATAAATTATAATTTAGAGTACCAATATTTCCCACACTATCACACATGTATCATTTTAATTAAACAATTGCTTGCGTATTCTATACATATAATGGTAGTAGATACAACTAAATTCGTGTAAATAATGAATGATGGCTTATTAAGTTAAAAATGTATTTTATTTTAATTAGCACCTAAATAGTTTCTACTTTATAATATGTATTAATATAGCTACACGTACTGCCATGCATACGATAAACTATTATTTAGTTTATAGATAGGAAAATCTAGTCACTTAAAATATAATATAATATTTATGCTATAATTTATTATTTGAATATTTAATAATTATATTGATACATTTTAATACAATTACTGACTAGACTCATATTGTAATAGGAATAATAAATTAAAACATGTATTTTTTAATCTTTATCATATCCAATTCTTAAACATAATAATATTATTTTATCAATTATTGTATACAATAAAAATGCATTTGTCTCATGCTGCAGTTATAAGCGTTCGGTGATTTTTGTTACTTTTTAAGAGGACACACCACGACCATTAATACAAATTGTTTGTAAAAACTGTTTTACGTTAAAAATAACTACCAAGTTTGGCCACAGAGAGAAATCACATTTATACACGATACAGAAGATAATATATTTTATTGTCATTACGTTTTTATTTGTTATTTCAGTTTGAAAACATAAAAATAACAAATAAAAAAAAAAATAATAACTTTTTTGTAAAATGTATATACAAACAATTAATAAAAACTAAGAACTTATTATATTCTTCTTTATTGTGTAGAAGCTTGGTAACTATAAACTGTGGCTTAAGTTGATTCGCGTTGAACGGTTTTTTTTTTAATAATCACATAATTTATTATTTAATGACCAGTAATGGTACTAACATAGGTAGGTACCTACCTAACCAAACACTAATTTATTGTAAGTTACTTTGAATTAATATTTCAATATATTCGAGTAAAAATTTAACTTTCTCAAAATGTCACTAAAATTGCCTAAATAAAACACTTTAAAAAACGGATGTGTTGTCCACTTAATTTATATTTTATTTCATTAAAAAATATTATAATAACCAAAAGTTATCTCTAGGAAAAAAAATAACTCTAAACAAATAGGAGTGTTAAATTATTATACAAAACTAGATAGCTTAAAAATCGTATATACATAGTATTATGTTGTACTTGACATCATTAAAATGTTTAAAATAAATAACTCAATATTAGGTCCTTGATTATGATGTTTATCTTTTTTAATAATAACAAAAAATAATACTTATAAGACACTATACGACCTAACCTACCTAAACAGTATTTAATTCGTATTTCATAATTATTTATTTAAGATTTAAAACGATAATGGTTATGCTCTTATATTGTTTTTATAACATTAAAAAAAAAAAAAAATTATAAAATTACTAATACGCCTACCTACTGACAAATAAATACATTTTCAAATAACTTAATTCCATAACCCTAAATACCTACTTAATTCCATAACCCAGAAACTAGAAAAACATTTTATCTTAAATTTAATTGTTTTATTTGTTAAATGTTTAAATATAACTATTTCGGAAATACTCTTAAGTCAACATTACTATAGATGATTATAAAAACCATTTCATATTTTCAGCATTTAATATTAAAAATACATCCTAATAGAATTAATAGAAATAAATAAATAATGAATTACTAATAACTTACCTATAGGCTATATTACATCTGATCGGTACCTAGGAAATTACGTAGGTACCTGCAGGTAAAACTTTACTTATAATTAGTGTTATACGACCTACTTTAGCGCACTGTTTTTGAGTTTTACATATGAGGCACTTATCGTTTTTAAAAATGTATACCAGTAATATTTAATGTTTTTATTTTTATTGGAACTTGAACTTAAAAGTGTTGCCATGTTTGTATACCTGACAATTTATGAAAAATAAATAAATACAAACAACAATTACATTTTTATTTTTAAACATCAACTCTATTTATTATTTAATATTCGTACATTAAAATAATATACCTATACTGTTTCAAATGCATACCTAACAATTTAAAATGTTGAATATAAATGAGCCTATTAGTGATATTACTAATTTATTTGAGTTTAATATTCCATTAAAATTATAGCGTGATGTATTAACTATACTATTATGATTTGTCATAAGCTAATATAATTTACTTAAAAATACAATTTTAGATTGTACCTCTAAAGTAAATGTTGTACACATAGTTAAACATCATCGGGTACACGAACATGATGTACAAATTAAAATATGTTCCTATTCAAAGTGAAGTAGATATTTGTTACCTAACATTTAAAAATGTAACTTTATCTATATTAAATATTAAAACAGGAACTCAACGTTATGATTAAACTTTAACACATTAACATATTAATATGTAGTATAACTATAGAAATATTTGTGTTTAAAATATTGAAAATATTTATATGATATTATTATATTTATTGTATAACACATTTAAGAGGTTGTCTTTTAAGCGGAAAATTATATACTAACTGATATAAAGTTATTTTGGTGAATTAACAATGTGTGATAAATATTAAAATTGAAATATAGTACACTATTATTGGTGAATTAAAATCCGTTCGATCCGTCCAAGTTTTGACAGTTGTACCTATAGGTCTAAATAGTAAATACTATCATAACATAGATTTAACTATATGGTTCATATTTTGACATTTACAAATTATTTTTTTTTTTTAGGGCTTATTTTACGATTTTAATTGCATTATATTAATTCATCTATTCTTTTAGTGTATATTTCGGTATTACATTTTTGAAATTATTACTATTGTAATATAGAAAAAAAAATGTCATATTATTTCTTATCGCTTAAAACTACCTGCAAAAAAACACAAATCATTTAGGTTATTAAATTTCTTTTAGGATACATTTTTGACATTAATTGATTTTTTTTCTTATAGATTAAATCTATCTACAAAACACAGATATTTGAATAAAAAGTACTTACAGTAGGCTCCCATAATTTTAAATTTATTGTTTTAACTAAATATTCAGAAAACAAATGTCTTTTTTCTAATTTTTCAAGTATATTTAAATTTTTTACCTCATATTGGGTTGGTTTGGTTCAAATTTGCATACAAATCCGAACTCTCTTAATAATTTACAGAACATCTGTATATAATCTATAGAGTCTCGCAATGGTTTATTATTACTTTCTATTTAGGTTATGTCATGTTTTGTATTTTGTTTTATTATAAGTATAGGTAGTAGGTACTTATGCCTATTGAATTGTATAAATAAATGTAATCGTACCTATGTTTTTAATTTTTAATTTTTAATTTTAAGTTATAACTTATTATTTTGCAGAATTTAAAAGGATAAATAAATGTAATAGTAAAATTTATTAGTACGCTAAATATGCATATAGATAGGTACCTACCTATACTGTGATAAAAATACATTATTGTATTATAACTTGGAATATGTTGAATAGTATCTTCATGTTATAATATGTTTTTAGATGATGATTAAATATTCATAATAATAAATATTATTTTATTAAGTGTATTTATGTTGAGTAAATGTTACTAATATAAAAATGTTGTATTACTTAGGTAAATATAACTGCAATTTGTGGGGAAAATTGTGGAAAACTAAAATAAAATTTAATTTTTTTAATAATTACAGAAAAAAATTATGAAACTTATAATCGTAGAAATTTCAACTTTCCACCAAATATTTATCATAAAATTTTATAGGCATTTCATAATTTTCAAAATATTTTGACTATAATTGAACAACTATATTTGTACTCATTTTGAATTTTGATTTTTTTTTTAGTTTAATGTTGATAACATTTTTATTTTTAAGTCAAAAATCCTGACAATGTAATACAAGGTTGGTTCATCCTAAGTTTGTCTTACAGCAGTTTAAAACACTAACTTCCCTAGTTGTATGATTAAAATGTTAATTTTATTAATGTTTTTGTTTACTGCATTTTAATTTAAAAAAAAAAAAAAACAACGTCGGTAGTATTATTATGTCTGCGAAATATTTGAATTTACGTTTTATTTATGTTTTTATTTTGGATAGCAGAACAAGATAGGTAGGTAACATTGAGTTTGAAGAAATTATAATTCAAGTGATTTTAAAACTAATACAGTTTAAATAAATTACAAAATATAATGTTTTTCATGATAAAAATAGTTTTATTATACAGCTCTATAGGTATGCTTATTTTTCACCAGGGACAGTAACCCAAAATCCCTTAAAATATTGAGAACGAAAACTTAACTTGACAACCGGAACTCTTATTTTTTAATTACAAAAATCTGATTTTACAACGGTTATTTCGTGTTTACCTACATGGCCTGTCGGCTATAAAAAGTGCATATTAAGTGATTTTATAAAATATTGTTACATTTATTTAGAGATGTGAAATCCGGAACCAGAACCGGAACCTTTCAATTCAATTTTCTAAGGAATTGATCAAGTACCAGAACACCATGATGAAATAATTAAGTAGGTACCGGAACTGCAGGAAACGGAACAGTAAAAACCTGAAGGTGCCAGTCCCTGTTTTGCACACATCAACTATCATTATAGTATATATTTTTATTGGTAATATAATATGTATTATGTATTTATGTCTTGTTAATGTTGAATTTGGATTTTCAAAATAAATAATCTTGATAAACAAAACATTTTATGCAAATAAAATATATATTATAATACCTATTATAATAATATGCAAATGTAATATTATATTATGATATTCATCTATAAAAAAAAAATTATGAAAAAACGTTTCATAAAATGTATAACTTTATAAGGAAGGTTCATATATTTTGTTACTAACTTCGTACAAATAATGTAAATTTTAATCACAACATCATAACCAAAATGCATTTAGTTTAAAATCGCTGTTCTATAGATTCAAAATTTATTTTTCATATTTTCATATAAAAGTTTACATATGAGTTATTTTTGTGTAAATGTTTTCATACTACGATAGAGTCATCTCATTAAAACTTTACTAAGTCAATACAGAATTCCACATTTCAATAATCTTCTATAAAATATTTTTTAAAAAATTATAATATACTATACATTTTTTTTTCAATTTGAACAATTTCATCCACAAATAAAAACATTACTGCTGAATTTAAATCTTTGTAATCATATTACCTAAATACAATTGAAAGTTGGTCAATAATACGTTTTTATCGGGGTTTTTTAAATCCCAATATTGTAACATAATATGTTACGAATACTGTTATAATAAAATGGAATAATATTGCCAGTTCATCACCCTCAGATACATCACGCCCCATTTTAAAGATAAAATTTCCTGTATGCACGTCTCCCCCTTGAAATCCGTGTTTGACATTTTGTCAACAATTTTGAGCTTGGCTTTTATTAAACTTAAAAACGTAAAAGCAAAAAAAAAATATTCTTTAAGTTATAAGACCATAATAGAGCCATTGATAATATTATGTTTAAATTTAAAAATTTCATGTGCTAAAAAATCGAATATATTATTATACAATAAATTTGACTACCTAGGTATATAGTTATGTTTCTTCACTTATCTTCAGACTTGTGGATCATCGATACATCAGAAAGGAATGTTGTCTGTACATTTTTGAAACTGTATTACAAATTGCTTAAAAAAGTATAATTTTATCCGCCGTCATCTATTCTATGTTAGGCTAGTCCGAGTGACAGGTACAACAACAGTTCATCTTAAACGTAATTTTGGGCTCGGGACAGGATTTCGGCTCTGTACTCGGCATAACAGACGGTGTGTTGCCCTTGTTTCGACAGGAACGGTCCCTTGACACCGGAATAGATACAACCGCTGGTGAATGGACTTTAGGGAGAATGACAGCAGTTGGACGTTCAGCAGGTGAACAGACAGAAGTCCGTTTTTCAGCCGGTGGACATATGGACGTCGGTTTTTCAGCCATTGGACATATGGACGTCGGACGTTCAATCGGTGGACAAGCAGTGGTCGGTTTTTCGGCCGGTGGACATATGGACGTCGGACGTTCAATCGGTGGACAGACAGTGGTCGGTTTTTCAGCTGGTGGACATATGGACGTCGGACGTTCAATCGGTGGACAGGCAGTGGTCGGTTTTTTGGCCGGTGGACATGTGGACGTCGGACGTTCAATCGGTGGACAGGTAGTGGTCGGTTTTTTGGCCAGTGGACATATGGGCGTCGGACGTTCAATCGGTGGACAGGCAGTGCTTGGTTTTTCGGCCGGCGGACTGACGGAGATCTGGACTTCCGAATCAGTTTGCTGACATGAGTCGCGCTTGCAGACTCCATTAGTTATTATTGTCCCGATGTTGATGATGATCTGCGACATATTACGATCTTCTTGGACACCGGGTTGGACCGGTTTCTGCTTAATATCCTGGTGATGGTTCTGAGGTTGTTTGGCTCCTTGGTCGGCGGGTGGCGGCTGTTCACAAATACGACTTACTGGAGCTGGTGCCCCAACCAGCCTTACCGGGCCACGCGGCCTGTCTTTTGGATTTTTCGCCCCCGCCCGATTGTCCTGCAGGGATTTTATCCAGTCCGAAACTTGCTGCGATTTTAAGAACTCACATAGACTCATTTCGGGGTTTTTCGCACTTTCGCCATTGCGTGGTTTCACAGCTGCCACCGGGGCCGGTTTTTCAGGACATTTCATTATCAATTTGCAACAACATTGGGCTGATATGCACACATCTTTTTTGTTCATCGCTTCGTTCGTGTTTGTAGTAGTTTGTGGTGTTGGGCGTGAGTGTATACAGTCAAATGTTGATTTATTATCTATTTAAGTGATTTTCTACTCGTAATTTTCTCCAACTTCGAATATTACGTGTAGATAGAAATAAAAGAAAATGTGTTTGTATTTTTTCCTTCAGTCGTAACAATACAACGTTGCTAAGATAATGCCGCTCAATAAAAATATTTTATTAGATATATTATGATTTTGTTTGCTCAGTGCAATATCCTACCACTATAGTACCTGCATAGTGCATAGATACATACCTATTATTATAGTGTATATATCATAATATATTTCATGATAATCTATATATTATATTTTGTAATAATTTCCATGATTCAAATTTTAAATTTTCATGATTTACAAATATTACAATATTGATTATAGTAGTGTTGTGTACGTACTAATGTATCATTATATTTAAGGCTTGAAATCATTCTATGAGGATTTGTTCATTTACGGGTGAATAATATAATACAATGTCTAATTTAAAACGCTCATAAAAAATTACTGTGGTTTTATGCTTAACTTTTTTATTAATTTTCACTAACAACAGTTTATGAGAAACCTTCTTAAATTTTCGAGTCTTTTGACCTAGTGAACATTTTTTTATCTAAAATAAACTAATAAAAATCAAAATTTTTTTTATTCCAATTAATAGTGCATAAACAGTCCAAAAATATTTTGATTTATAAGATGCTAATATAAACATTCAGTGAAAATGTAATCACAGTTATTTTTTTTAGTTGCAAAAGAAACAAAATCGAATATATTTTATAAAACTGGTTTTGCATAAAAATCTAAGTTTTTCCTTAATTTTTTGTTTATTTTTCCTGCCGCTTTTACTTTCGACCCCCCCCCCCCCCAAGTAACAACTAGATTCACAAAATAATAACAGCTATTAGTCAGTATTTGAATATGTAGTTTATTATTTAATATTGTATTATATCTTTTTTTCATTATAATATGCATAATATTATGGAATTGATGACTGGTGGAATTGATATTAAAACGGTTTAATCGATAAAACATTGTGGGCAGTATCATCGTGTAGGAACAATAATTATCTGCAAATTACAGATTTATATAGTTAGGTAAAACCGTTATCTGAATTTTAAGAATATTTTCATTTTCGTAAGAATTCATATAAAACTTGACAAACATTACTTAAAAAAATTTATTTATCTTTGTAAAAAAAATATAATGCTTCCTACGCTATTATTATACAGCTATAATACATTAAGAAATAATTATAATTTATTTACGAATTGGAAACGGGGAATAGGGAGTCCTTTTATAGTAAGACCACTTTTTGTATTCTTTGTATTGATTATGCAAAAAATGAGAAAATGTAATTAGGTATTAAATTTAATCAATGTTTTTGGATTTGGATAAGATCAAAAACTATATTGGTTCGTAACAAATAGTATGTATATATTTTTTTTTCAGAACAAACGTTCTTTTTTTTAACGAGTTCAGATAAAAAACCAATGTAATGTCTACAATTACTTATTTATAAGAACAAGGCAAAGAACATAGAACACAAAAATAAGAAACAGCTAAAATAATGAAACAAATAATTATAGCAACATTCGAACTAATTCTAATTAAACCCCCCTAATCTAAACAATGTACTAATATTATACAAATTCCATGTAGACTAGTGTTTTACATAATTTGGAAAGTGTACATATAATTCCTTAATTTATTTATTAGTTAGGTAATAATATATTATCATAACCTCTATGATAATACAACTGTTATTATTTTGTGAATATTGATCACTGGAAAAGAGGTCAAAATTTGGTCAATAAGTGAAAGTTCCATCTGCCAGTATAAATTAAATTTCATTACAAAAAATGGTGGTTAAGGGGATGTCAGTCTGCTGTACAGTAGGTTACAAGTGGATCACTGAATGATGGATGGTATTAGATTTGGATTCAATGATTATATATATTATCGTTAAATACGAAAAACGATTCTGAGCGGAGGCCGTTTGTCAGTGAGGATATTTTATATTGAATTTATATTGGTATTGCGTATTATTAATACGGTGGCCAGTACCTAAGTTGAATTAATATTACACAATTACAACAAAAAACTAAAATTGTTGTTCTTGCTTATTTAATATGTAATTTCGTGCAAATTTTAACATAAAATAGGTATAAGAACAAGCAATTTTTGAGATTTTTGATTACAGAATAACCGACTTACGTGAAATCGTGTTGTAAATTTTCAATCTTTAGCTACAAAAGTCAAACATTTTATAAATATTTTACAAAATAATTTTTAAATTTTATCAAAATCTGAACTGTAAAAGCTTATAAAAAAATCGTATCCATGTACTTTAAATATTTTTCAACTACTATTGTAACAATATATCAGGAGCCTTGTATTGATTTTTCATGTTTTTTGCCAAACCAAATACAATTTTATTAACATTTATAGAAAAAAGAACTAAAGATATTGGAAACTGAAAATGTTATCAAGTATAGGAATTGATAAAATAAACATACGGTGAACATTTCATATACTAATATACTTCATATACTTCAATTATACAGTTATGTACAAACTACACGGGGTCCGCGATTCTACCTGATAAAATACTGTTCGCATAATCACAAGCGAATCTCACGGACAACGCCGGTCAGGATGGTTATACATTAAAATATAATATAATTTACACTTAAAAAGACATTGCTTTCACAGCGTGTTACGCCCAAAAAGAGTTGAACAATCACAATTTACTTTCCGGGAAATTCTGGGTAATTTCCAACTAGTATATACAGGGCCGGATTTAGGAATGTGGGGGCCCTGGGCCCACCTTTAGAAGTAGATATTTTTTTCGATTAAGTACATAATATATTTAATAACCAGAATTTTGGTTATGAAAAAACAATGATTTATCGCCTGGTGCCCTGGTCGGACAGTCAGTTATATTCGACGGACACTTAATTTTTTTACAAATTTTTCAAACACAAATAAAATTTGAAAACAAATTTAAAAAATATATTCCAACAGTTATTAGATAAACTTCTCGTGTTTAATTTGGTATAAAAACTATGTTTCTACGACTTACGAGGCCTGAGTACCTACTATTGGAACTACGAAAACATGTTTTTACGATCTATTTTTTTCTACCTACAGTGACGGCTCTTAACTACTATTGTACGTGCAGGGACAAGTTGTTATTAAACTATTATATTATAGATTATTAAATTATAACTAGGTTTTTATCTAGGTGATTTTGAAAATCTATTTTTCCAGCTGTGCTATCAATAAATATAAAAAACGATATTTTTTATTTATATTTTTAATCGTGACACTAATAATTTTCGGAGTATTAAAAATCACCACGATAAAAACCTAGTAGGTTATCTCGTTAATCAATCTTAATCCGTTTTCAAAATTGAAATCTGTCAAACCAAATTACTACAGTTTTGTCTAGATTTTTGGTCTAAATGCCACTTTTTTACACAGACAGCAGCCCCCTTGATTGAAAATCGTCGAATTACTAAATTTAATTTAATAAAAAATACATTGTACCTACTAACCTGGATAAATATCACGATCAAAATATACTTTATGGTTGAAGCGTGAAAACTGAGTGTACCAATGTACCATCTACCTATTTGTTTTTATTTAGAACTTATTCAGCACGCATTTATTTATAACAGTCCACAGCGGACGGCTTGCTATAGAAGTTATAATATGTGTTTATTTATAACAGTTTTAAATTAAAATATCCAAATATTAAAAGTCTACAAGATAATAATAACATAATAACATAATAATCGATTTTAAATTCACATTTGTAAGCTAGCTACTCACTTCTATAAATTCATTAGTTATTAAATATTAATAATAACATTTATTTATAAATTTATGACAATATCAATGATTGAATATTTTTATTCATGTTGTGATTTAAATCCGTTTTGAAAATGTTATATTGTGTTTTATACAATATACTTGGATGTAAAAAAAAAATTTAGTGGGGGCCCTCAATTTGTGGAGGCCCGGGGCCCGGGGCCCCCTGCCCCCCCCCCCTAAATCCGGCCCTGAGTATATAATAGAAATAAATATATAATTTTAATTTCGTGTCACCATATGTAAGGATGAGTTAAGGTAGGGCGGTCCAAAATTACCATTTAAAAGATTTAATTTTGTTCATAAACGGTTGCAATTGTTGACGAATTTTTACGAATATATAACTTTTTTTCTTTTTTTTTTATAAGAAAATTTACAATCTGTACAATATGCACGACAAGTAAACGTGATACAAGAAGATTTTTATAGCAGTGAAGAATTTGAGGAGAGAAGCCACCCATTATTAGTGATACTTTCATTTTGAATTAAATATCTAACTTGAAATGCTTAAAAAAAATTGTGGTTATATAACATTATTTTAATCTTTTATAACTATCACTAAAACAATTCATGATTAACCCTGTATTAAATTTCCAAGATTTTTGAGATTTTTTTTGAGATTCACAATTTTAATTAGCCTATTAATAGATCAAAAAGAGTCAAAATATTTTAAACTATATATAGTGTATAAAAAATGGTAATATGCTTATGTAAATAAGGTGGATATTTAATATATCCACGGTTATTTTTTTTTTTAGAGTTACACCAACATAAAAATCGAATTTGTGAAACACCGCTTTTACGTAAAAATCTCTGGTTTTTCTCAATTTTAGATTCTGAGTGAAACGATGAATGTATTGATTTTACAATGATGTGTGTTTTTTTATTTTTTTATTTTTTTATTTTTTTATTTTTTAATTTTTTATTTTTTAATTTTTTTTGTATCTGTGTACACGATAAGTAGTCGAAATAATGCTTCGATTTTCGACTTCAGTATCTTGTTCGATTGGAAAGTGAATATCGTTGGTGCATTGGGGAGGTCAAAATTTAAATTTCCCAGTAGTTTTCACAAGCGCCGGGAAAAACAACATAAAAAT